GAAAGCACAGTTCACGTGGCGGCTGCGGGCAGCTGGGCACTGCTCCTGCAGGGACTTTCTGCTCCCCTCCAACCCGCTCGCACATCTGATCCTGGTGAAGGAGGTGTACTGTGAAGACAATCCCACCACCCACTCACTGCCTGGGGCATGCGGTGCTCCTGGGAACTCGCAATAAACTCTCTGAACAAGGTGGTTCTGCTCCTCATTGCCCAGCTCCTCACGCCACTCTGCTACCCCCTGCTTTGCTTTCCTTTGCTCTCTGAGGAGCACCACTACGTGCCGAGGTTCCAGCAGAGGTGAGTGCCGGCATGCCATGCTGGGGAGCCAGGGCCTGTTCCCCCCTCTCTGCAGGGGTTGCTGAGGCCTCGAAACATCCACAAGAACAGAGGAAGTGCAGTTGCTCTGAGCCCCTCTGCCACCATTCTGAGCTGTGTCTGCCTCCTGAGTACCTGAGCCACGGGAGCAGCGCTGTCTGCTTCCTTCCCCATCTCTCCCCATGTGCTGGCAGCCGTGTGGTCCAGCGTGGACACATCCTTCAAGCAACGAGGCCATGCAAGTTGGAGTCAAGTGGTTTATTAGTGTAACGAGAAGGGGTGCAGCAGGGGTTCCCAGAGTGGCCATCTCCACCTTGCTGCTACCCACCAGGGCACGGGCGCCCTGCAGGACATGCCAGCGGTACCGGGGAAGCGGCTTCCTACCTACAGTCTACGGGTCCAGCCCGGGATCTGCCCTTGGTCTGGGGTGAAGGAGCAAGTGGGGAGAAGAGCTAGAGCTGGTGGGGGTCCATGCTGGGCTCTGCGGGCCACAGGCTGGGGTAGGTGGGGGTGGTAGGGGCTGGGCGGTATTTCTCGATCACCTCCCGCAGCCCCTTGGAGAAGTGGAGATCAGCTCCCACTGTGAGGAATCCCTGCAAAGGGGAAGAGGATTAGCACAAGGCTGGGTGAGACTGTGCCCTGTGCCCTCAGGACGTGGTCCCTGTGCCTCCTGAGGGGGCCCAGGCTGTCCCCATCCCACCACATACCGCGTGGTTGGTGACCACCTCCTTGGTGAAGTCCATGCCTTCTGGCAGTGGGATCTGCACCCCCTTTTTAGTCCTCTCTGCAGGGAGGGAGAGATGCAGTGAAGCAGAGTCCCGCTGTGCCCCTGCCCCAAGCCTGGCTGTGTGCAGGCAGCAGTGGTGCCTACCGTTAATTATGGGCATGATCGTCAGCTGCAGCAGGGTCTTCAGTGGGGCCTGCAGTGAGAACAGCTGGGGGGGAGAGAAGTGTGGGTGAGCACACAGGCAGCGGCAGCAGACCTGCCTGGGCAGGGCATGCCTGCACTTAGCACTGGGTGGGCTAGAAGAGGGGGGTGTCCTGTAATGTGCAGCCCCTCCCTGAGCCTGCCCCACACTGTGCTAGTGAGGGAGGCCAGACCCCCTGGGCTGGCACGGGTCTGCTCACCGCTAGCGACTCCAGCGCAGACTGCTTGGAGTAGATGCGAAACCTGCAGGGGAGAAAGCAGATGTGAGCGGGGCGCAGAGGGGACCTTCCCTGCAGTCTCCACAGGAACCCAGCACAGGCCCTACCTTCGCAGGTCCAGCTGCACGCGCAGTGCCTTCCCTTGCAGAAACACTTTGGCGCTCAGCTTTGTTTCCTGGGGAGAGAAAAGGCTGAATCGCAGGCAGACAGCTGGCCAGGCTGGCTGCTCCTCTTGCCCCAGAGGCCCAACTGTCCCTCTGCCTTGGGACACCTGAGCCTTCCTACATGGAGTGAGAGACACTCTTCCCATGTGCACCAGGGTGGCTGCACAGGGAGCCTTGGCCCCACACACCCCTCCCAGCCAGCCCCCCACTCACCATGGCCATGCTGGAGAGCTGGACGGCAGGGCGGCCCGGGGGCACCAGTGAGATGTTGAGGAAGGCAGAGACCGAGACAGAGGTGCCCGAGGGTTTGATGGTGCAGCGGGGGGGAGCCGACACCTGCAGCACCAGCCGCAGGGGAGCGTCCACAGCGGGGCTCTGAGGAGGGCAGGTGAGCCGGAGGCATGGAGCTGGGCAGGGCTCTGCTCTGCCCTAGGGGCTCCCCACTGCCTCCCACCCCAACCAGGTGCTCCTCTCACCAGCATGAAGATGGTCCCAAAGAAGGTGGCTCTCAGCAAAACCTCCAGGTCCTTGGGCACCTGCAGGGAGGACGAGCCACCGGAGGGTAAGCAAGCCGTTGCTGTTGATCCCAGCAGAGCTGCTGCCTGGATGGCACCTCTTCCGCTCTGCGGGCAGAGCCCAGCCCTCCCTCATGCCTGCAGAGAGCTGCCTGTGTCCCAGCACTGCTTACCTTCTCCCCCTGGAGCTCTATGGCCAGCACACCTGCCTGGAAGTATGCGTGCATGGCTGAGTCAAAGAAGTACTCGGAGAAGGCAACGTAGACCATGCGCTCGGTCTCCTTGATCACTGGCTCCACCGCATGATTCTCCAGCTCCTGGTTCTCTCTTCCACGGGGGAAGAACATGCCCTGGGACAAGAACAGAAGATGTTTCTGCAGCCATAGCACAGCCCACCCTGCTCACTTTGTGGTCCCCAGCGTGCAGGCTGGCACAGCTGCTCCCACGGAGGGGAGCAGTAGGGCAGGATCACCTTGAAGTCTAGGTCAAGGGTGTCCGTGGAGACAGCCGGATCCCGCAGGAGGGAGTAGTCAATCCCGATGTGCTCATCCACGTAGTTCCTTACTGCCAGGGAAGATGTGCTGTTTTGACCAAGCCTGCAGGACACCCAGCACCCTGCTGCCCAGCTCTGCGCTCCCCACGGTGAGCAGGGGCCGGTCCCTTCCCCCAGGGCAACACTCACCCGGCACAGTGTCCAGCACAGAGTTCAGCAGCACCAGGCTGGCATGCTCCAGGGAGGGGCAGATCTGAAAGGCAAGGGACGAGGCTAAGAGAGGAATTGTTCCCATGTCCAAATGAGGACCTGGGCCCTCCTCCTGCTGCAGGGCAGGGTAAGACTAGGCTCCCTAGGGCTCCATCGCCTGTCTCCACTCTGCTGTACCTGCTGGCTGAGGAGGAAGCGCATCCCTGTGACGATGAAGGTGCTAAGGAACTCGTAGACCTTCCTGTAGGACACAACAGCAGCTCTGTGGCTGCCTGCCTCCCCCTGCGGCTCCAGCCCTGCTCCTCCATCCCGCTGGAGCACACGGCTTGGGCTGGGGAACTCCCAGGGAGCCAGGCACAGGCGAAGCTGGCCTGGCAGAGGGACAGGGCTGCTGCAGTGGGGTTGGGTGTACCTGAGTGTGCCGGAGAAGCCTGCATGCATTCTGGCAATGGAGGCATTGCAGGTGATGTTAGAGATCTTCAGGCGCCCAGCCTCGTCCTTGGACAGCTGCAGCACTGTGTGGATCTGGACGCCATCCGCAGAGGCATTGATGGACCCAATGTCATAGCTGGAAGCAAGGAGAGCAGATAAGAGGTGCACACAGCTCCTACCAGCTGCAGGGCAGCAAGGCACCTCTGGCACCCAACGGGCATGGCCAAGCAGTGGCTGGCGCCCAGGCTGCAGCCCAGCCATGGGGTAGGCTGGTGCCTGGGGGGAGCAGGAGGGGGAAGGTAGCTCACAAGAACCAGTAGAGCAGCTGTCTCCGGAAGCGCAGGCTGATGGAGGCATTGTTGATGTTGAAAACGAGGTGCTGCTGAGGCTGGAAGTGCAGGTCAGAAAATGCCAGCTGCAGGTCCATCACCTTGACCCTGCAGGGGAGGGGACGGAGATGGTCGGACAGACAGATGGACAGAGCCGCATACGCATGGAGCAGGCAGCACTCACTCGCTGATGTTGTAGTGGAACTGCCCCTCCTTCCCGTGCAGGTCTGACACCGTGATGTTCTGCAGCTCCTGCTCCACGAAGCGCAGGCCCTCCTGTTTCACTGCAAAGCAAAGTGAGCCTGGGCTGGCCACAGCCAGGCTGTGCCACCCTCCCAGCAGCATCACCCCCCAGCCAGTCCCCCGGCTCCTCTCCAGCTGCCCCACATGCAGGCAGGGGTCCCAGCCGATAGCTTTACCCAGGCAAAGACCCCAGGAGCAGCGTCCCAACCTGCCTCTTAGCCAGGCCCCAGGAGCAGGGTCCCATCCGGCCCCTTACCCAGGTCCAGCCCCTTGGAGGTAATCCGGATCTTGCAGCCAGGTGGGCTGTGCGAGGTTGTGACCAGCCAGGGCAGGAGGAAGAGGAGGAGGCAGCTGCCGGCAGCCATCTTGCACCTGGAGGCAGAGAATGGGGTCAGCAGAGAACGGGGTCAGCACGGGCTGGCCTAGTGGGGCACACGGGGGACACCTGGCCACCCTGGGAGGGAGGCGGCAGCTGCCCAACCTGCTCACAGCCCTGGGGCAGGGGACGGCCCCAAGGAACACCCCACAGCTCTGCTGCCTCCCACATCCCGAAACCTCCTAGTGCTGCCCAGGTCCCCATCGCCTGAACCCCCGTGGACCAGCAGCCCATGAGTGGCAGAGCCCCCACCCCTGGGTGCTGCGCACAAGACCCCAGCACGGGCCCTGCAGGGTCCGCAGGGTCTCACGTGCCCTGGTAACACTCGCTCCAGATGGCTCCTGCCGGCCCCAACAGCGTCCCACCCTGCCCTGAACGTACCCAGCTCCCAAAACTGCACGGCAAGGCACAAGCCCAGAGTGCGCTGCTGCAGCGAGGAACCCCAGCATCCCACAGAGAAGGGGCCCCCCTAGCCCCGCAGGCAGCCCCAGCTGCCCCCCCATGGAGGTGTGCTGCCTGCCCACACGCCAGGCTGAGACCAGTCCATCCAGCAGCAACAGGCAGAGCTCCACTTGAGGCTGCAGGGAAGGTCCAGGGCTCCCCCCACAGCATTTTCTCCCAGTTCCCTGCAAGGCAGAGGACGGGGGAACCCTCCTGCCCAGGGCCCAGAGCCGCCATCCTTCCCTGAGGTTGTGCAGGGACCGGGATTTTGCCTACACAATGCCAGCTCAGTTTGGGTACTTACAGTGAGGCTTGTCCTCGGCTCCCCTGGTGTGGGGAAGCTGAATCACGTGAAGGGAGGGAGGGAGGGAAAACACCAGTAGCTCCAGGAGTTTCTTTTGAGCTGGCTGAGGTTCCCCTGCCTTTATATATCCCACCAGCTGCCACTCCTTGCAAGCCCACAGCTGGGAGGAGACAGCGGGACGGGGAGGATGCAGGTCTCCAGCACGCTGAGCCCCGGCTGCTTGCCAGCACAGGCAGAAAGACAGCGGGTTGCTCAGACACCCAGGCTCCGGGCCGAGCATGCTGCCTT